CCCATTTCCAAAAGTCGTCTTAAATCCCTAAATCTCATGACCGGGCTGGATGTAAGACCAACCTTCTCATCTTCCAATTCTTTTTGTTTATCATATACTGGCTAGACCTCTAATTTCCAATTGTGAAGTCGTCGGAATCCGACAGAAAAGTCACTCAGAAAAAGGCATTAGGTGATACCTCTAATTTCCAATTGTCAAGTCGTCAAAGTCCGAGAGAAAAAATCACTGTCAATCCAGTCGATCGAAGACCCCCATCTATCCAGTCGATTGAAGACTTCGAAGGTAAGCCTCTCTCTCTTTCTCTCTCTCTCGCTCTCTCTCTCTCTCTCTGTGAGTCTTTCTTTCTCTCTCTCTCTCTCTCTATATATATATATATATCACATTTAAATGGAGGAAGTTTTTGCCCTAATTTTTTCCTTAATTTCTTGCCCTAATTTTCCCCCTAATTTTCCTCCTAATTTCTTGCCCTATATAATTTGTTCTTTAAATTAGAAAATTACTTAATTTATGTGCTTTAGTGGAAGTTTATAATTTTTGTTATGCCCCAATTCTGAAAGTATATTATTTGCAGTGATTGTGAATTTGTATGAATTTGTGATTAAAAAAATTGTTATAACTTATCATTTTATCTATTAATTTTTTTTTTAATATAAAAAAGATTTCATTTTTAAAAATCATTTTGGACCTCTAAATCTCAAGACCGGCCCTGGATGTGAGACCAACCTTTTCATCTTCCAATCCTTTTTGTTTATCATATACTGGCTAGACCTCTAATTTCCAATTGTGAAGTCGTCGGAGTCCGACAGAAAAGTCACTCAGAAAAAGGCATTAGGTGATACCTCTAATTTCCAATTGTCAAGTCGTCAAAGTCCGAGAGAAAAAATCACTCAGAAAAAGACATTAGGTGATAGCGTGGAGTTTGTCGCTAGACCTCTAACTTCCAATTGTGAAGTCGCCAGAGTCCGAGAGAAAAAGTCACTCAGAAAAAGACATTAGGTGATAGCATGGAGTTTGTGGACTTTTCATCCCAAAATTAAAAAAAAATAGGGACCTAGGCCATTAAAAAAATTGTGTGGACTTAAAGCATTGCGTATTGAGACAGTTTTGGTCAAAATTTTTAATAAATTAATATGAATGACAGTTTTTAAGGTATATAAAAAAAATCAAAATTTAACTTTCGTAAAATAATAAATCTTGAGATTTTAATTTTTTCAATTTTAACACTAATCTTTTGATATTTTTTTTTCAACCTAAACTATTTATTTATTTCTATTAAGTAAATTGGCAAAAAAAAAATTATTTTAGTTATTAAACTTATTTGACAGCCTATATTATTCTTATAAATTGTATTTTAAAAAAGTAAACAAAACACAATTTGTTAAAATTAAAATTAAAGTAATATCTTTCTAACTCTAAACTTTTTATATATAACATTGTCATTGTCATAATTTGTTAATTTGGTGAATTTATACTTTAATTTGATTGTTTTAATAGTATTAATTAAATTGATCATATGAATTATTAAAAAAGAAAAAATAAATGTGAATGTAAATCTAATAAAAAATATGTTACCCGGTTCAGTTTGATTTTGGCTCATAAAATTTGGGCATATGGATGGGACGTGGTTTTAATTTTTTTAAATAAGTCCTACCAACCCATTGATTGGTCAAAACTCAAAATTAATATATGGGGCGTGGACACAATAGTTGTGGCTAAGTAAGTCCGACCCGTCCCATTGATGACCCCTACTTTATGGGAAGAGAACACATAATCACTTTGTCTAAAACGTGTGAGAAAAATTAAGAAAAAGTAGACTTATGGCCCTATATAATTGTAAGGATACACAACGTAATATATACATTACAACATATAATAGTTTTAGAGACCAAATTTTTTGGTTTCTAAAAGTAAAAATTTTGTTGCAAAATACACTTAGGGACTAATTTCTATCGTCATAAGGATTGTCGCTACAAGGTCGTCCCGAAAAGTCAAAAACAAGGCTTTTAATGACAAAATTTTGAAAATGTCACTAATAGAGACAAAATTATTTGGTCTCACAATGGTTTATTTTTTGAGACAAAATTTGGTCCCCAAATGGTAATAATTTATCACTAATGTACAATTTTCGTTGCTAAAAATATCATGACAATACTTTTCGCAACAAAAATATTTGGTCCCTAAATAATAATTGTCCCTAAATTTTGATTTCTAAAACCTTAATTTTTTATAGTGATAGATCGGAACTATTAAATAATTTCTACCTAAAACAAGCATCGTTAATTACTGAAAAATTAATTGTTACACACCAATTAAAAAGTGTGTATGAGATTTGTAATTTTAGTCGTGAATCATGTTGATTAATTATAAGATTTGTAATTTTAGTTGCGAATCATTTTGAGAGCCTTTCGCTTATGGCCAAATTACTCAACAAAAATTGTCATGTGACTATCATATCAGAAATTTTTGAGTAAAAAATTGTAATTTTATTTTATTTTCAATTTATGTTACATTTTCCCACAATAATTTTATTTTGTGCTATGTTTTCTAAACCTACTCGGAAATGGGTTGGGAGTTTCGAAAATACAATAGAGAAAAAAAAAATGAAAAAAAGCTGTGATAGGGGGTCTAAATAAAATATTAAATTTTTTATCAAACTTCTTACATGGGTGTAGGACCCACACACATGTAATTTGTGTGGGTCTCACATCTATGTAAGAGGTTTAGTAGAAAATTTGATAATTCATTTAAGGTCTATAGTATTTTCCAAAAATAATGTAGAAAATTTAGATCATATTAATTTCAAGCCTATCCCTCTTTCTCTCTCCCTCTTGAAAATTATAGCAAGCCTATTCCTCATATTAATTTCAATAGAACTGATAGATTAGTAGTTTGTTGAAAATCGTGTAGATAAAAATTTAGATCTTACATATTTTGAGATAAACATCATCCAAAATTTGAAAAACAATATTAAACGATGAAAAATGAATATCTAGAGATCTCAACTTACAATACAAAGGTTAATACTTATCTGATCGTATCATTAATTGAAGGGCACTCAATGCTAACATTAGTAACAACTCTTTAAAGAATACTCGATAACCCAAATATATTAATTTTTTGTTGAAATTTATGTTTTCCTTTGTTTAGATAAAAAATTATAATCTAATACGTAAATTAATTTTTTTCTAATATATTCAGCAGTCTAATTAATTTTTTGGAATAATTTAGGAGATTAAAATAAAACTTCAAAAGAAGTTTCAATGCCACATAGTAAGTTCTGTTTTATTATAAACAACAATTCACAATAAAGATAGCATATACATATAAATTGGCTTGCCAACCATGTTGCTGGGATTCAAGCAATCTCCCTTGTTAATTCCCCCTACCCCCAACTAACCCCTAACATCTAATATTTAATCTTAAATTCCTTGAATTAAAAGTCACATCTATCCAAACGGACCTAATGAGTATTTAACAATTGAACTCTATGACGTTACAGGTTCAATGTGTTTGTATTACCCTTTCCCTTGCTAATAACTAACACATTGATACATACTGTATGATACAAAAAAATTGCGATGATATTTGATATATTTATTGTCCCTTCAGGGAAAATTGAAATTAAAACACCTAATTATAATAGAATATGTTGTAAACTGAATTCTTAATCACTGGTTAGGAATTTTGAGCACTAGTTATTTGCGGGGACATGATTTACTTTGTCTCTTTCCTATGCACAAGTGTTTCCTAATTCTTTATTAGGTGAGGATAATATAGGTAAAAGATTATTTGTCAATTTTTTCACCACTTTATTATTATTTTTTTTTTTATACACAAGAACATTGACACTTGTCGTTTATAGACTTTTCCATGATGTCATGCGTGCTAGAATGTATTTTTGAGACACTCTGATCCCAACTATAAAAGCACATCACAGCCATTAGCTTCATCATCCAAGATTGGTGACCTAGAGTCTGTTATGCAACATGGGTTCATCTTTCTATCTTCATGTGTTCATGCTCGTGTTGTTGTTTTCATCTTTTTGTAATGTTATCTAACTCTTCCTCTTCTGCGCAGCCACTACGCCATGAAGATGAGAGTTCATCCTTGCTGCAGTTCAAGCATAGCTTTTTTATTAACAAGTCTGCTTCAGATGATCCTTCAGCTTATCCAAAAGTTGAATCATGGAAGAAGCTCGAAGGAAAAAGCAGTGACTGTTGCTCATGGGATGGCGTCGAGTGTGACCACGACACTGGTCATGTGATTGGTCTCAACCTCAGTAGCAGTTTTCTCTATGGTTCTATCAACTCCAATAGTAGCCTCTTCAACTTGGTTCAACTTCAGAGGCTGAATCTTGCCGACAATGATTTCAATTATTCTCAAATCCCACCTAGAATCGGAAACCTTTTGAGGCTAACCAGTCTAGACCTATCCAACTCTGCATTTTTTGGTCAAATCCCTTTAAATATCTCAAATCTTTCAATGTTGGTTTACCTTGATCTCTCTGGAAATGTTGACTGGAATCATGAAAGCCTTCTGAAACTTGAAAAACCCAATTTGAAAGACCTAGTTCAAAATCTTACCAACTTGAAGGTACTTGACCTCAGTTCGGTGAATATATCTTCCACAGTGACTCGTGCTTTGTCAAATATGTCTTCACTAACAACTCTTGTTCTTCAGAGTTGTCAGTTGTATGGTGAATTCCCAACAACCATTTTTCAACTACCAAACCTTCAGACTCTAAGCATGGGAAACAATGACAATCTCACTGGTAATTTGCCTGAATTTCACCTTAGTAGTCCCCTAAAGCAATTGGATTTATCAGTATGTCAGTTTTTTGGGATGCTTCTAGTTTCCCTAGGTAGTGTGACCAAACTCACCTATTTGGACCTTCGTTCGAACCAGTTTTGGGGCCAAATTCCTGCATCGCTGGGAAACCTTTCACAACTATAACCGTCTTACGCCTTGGTGAAAATAATTTTGATGCACCGACCTTACCCATGACACTTGGTAAGCTATCCAACCTCATTGAATTAAACCTTACAGATATGAAAATACGTGGTGAGATGCCACAGTTTTTAGCTAACCTGACCCAGCTATCGTCTTTGGTTATCTATTCAAATGAATTAGTTGGTCAAATCCCATCTTGGCTTATGAACCTCACCAAATTAACAAGTCTAGAACTCACAGAGAATCAACTACATGGCATGATTCCAAGCGCAATTTCTCAACTCAAATATCTTGAATGGCTTAATCTTGATGGAAACAACTTGAGCAGTGAAGTAGAGTTAGACATTTTTTTGAAGCTCCAAAACCTTGTTGTCTTGGAATTGTCAGGGAATAAATTAACAGTTGTTACCAAAAATATTACCAATGCTACTCTTCCGAAGTTTAAAGTTCTAGGATTGGAATCATGTAACATGAAAGAGTTCCCCAATTTGCTACAGTTCCAGGATGAATTGGAGTTGTTATTTTTTGATAATGACAAAATTCAAGGTGAAAAACCAACTTGGTTTTGGAACAACACTAACGAAAATATTCGAGAGGTTCAACTTGGGAACAACTTTCTGATAGGTTTTGAACAGCATCCAGATGTCATTCCATGGCGGTCACTTCTAATTTTAGACCTCAGTTTTAATAGACTGCAAGGATCACTACCAATTCCACCACTGTCCACCATAGTTTATGAGGTCACTGGTAACTCGTTATCCGGAGAAATTCCACCATCAATAATCTGCCACAATAGTTCTCTTAAATTTTTAGATTTGTCTAATAATAACTTAAGTGGCACGATTCCTCAATGTTTGCCCAGTTTTAGTGATTCTCTACTGGTGCTCAATCTAAGTCACAATAATTTTCACGGCACAATTCCTAACATGATAGGGATCAACTTGAAGATGATTGATCTAAGTCAAAATCAATTACATGGTCTGGTACCAAGATCATTGGAAAATTGTACAATGCTTGAGATTCTTCTTCTTGGCAACAATCAAATGGAGGGTACTTTTCCCTCGTGGTTGGGAGCTCTTCCTAAGTTACAAGTTCTTATTTTGTGATCTAACAGATTTCATGGTGCCATTAATGTTTCTCAAGCCAAATTAAAATTTGCAAAATTGCGCATCATTGACCTCTCTAACAATGGTTTCTCAGGTAACTTACTGTCAGAATACTTCGAAAACTGGAATGCAATGACAATGGTCAAGAGAGAAAAGTTAACATATATGTAGGCAAGTCAAGGAGTTCCAATTGGAATTGTAAATTCAAGATCGACAGCTCTAACTTTGTATACAAGGCCTTACGTGTATTCAGTAACAATGGATAACAAAGGCACCCATACAGTATACGCGAAAATCCAAACGGCCTTCACAGCTATTGATTTGTCAAACAACAAATTCGGAGGGGAAATTCCTGAATCTCTTGGAAGGCTCAATGGGCTTCAGATGTTAAATCTTTCCAACAACAGTCTCACTGGTGTCATCCCATCATCCTTGGCAAATTTGACCGAGCTGGAATCATTGGACCTTTCGCAGAACTTGTTCTCAAGAGAGATCCCTCAACAACTCTCCCAACTCACTTTCCTTGAATTCCTAAACGTTTCTCACAACCATCTCACTGGCCTAATTCCTCGAGGGAATCAGTTTGATACATTTGAAAACAATTCATACGATGGGAATTCCAGGTTGTGTGGTTATCCTCTATCGAAGTTATGTGGAAATTCAGAGGCCTCACCACCACCATCCTTGAGCTTTCATGGTGATGATTCAAAGTTTCCAAGTGGTGTTGTTGACTGGATTATCATATCATTGGGTTATGGTAGTGGGCTAATAGTGGGGCTTGTTATTGGGCACATTCTGACCGCAAGGTATCATGAATGGTTTGTTGAGAAATTTGGAACAAGGAAGCAAACTCAAAAAAGGGTGCAAAGGAAGGGAAGAAGAAACTAACTTAGAAATGTTTTGTTGTGTAATATTTATCTATGTGGATGCTATTAGCTTTTGTGAGAGTAATTATAAATAATGGTTCTGTGTGATTTGTAATTTCTCTTTTGAAGTAATCCCAGCAATTTCTGTTTGTAACATATTTCTATAAATTGGGTATTATAAAGAAGAATAAAGTTATGTTTTATTATAGTGTTTGTTATAATTCAAACTAGGTTTTATTATTATTATTTTTTTATTATTATGATTGAATGTGGTATGAAAATTATAGTTGTGGCATCGGCTATAACTTATGATGATTTTTTGTTATGACTCAAAAGTAACGTTTTTTTTGGTTATGATACCATATGGTGTTGATTATTATAGCATAGTCTTTTTAGTTGGGATTCATCACAATGTAGTGTGAGGTAATGTGACTTCTTTGTTTTCATAAAGTAGACGCAAAATAATCTTTAGTCCTGGTTTGGCATTTATTTTGGGGCTAAATAATAATAAAAAGATAAAATTGACTACAAAAATCAATAAGACAAAATACTATTTTTTATTCATAATCATTTATTCTCTCACAAAAATAAAAAAAGTCACAAAATAAAAACCAAATGAGTCTAAAAAAATCAGGCTAAAAAAGTCTCAACATAAAAAAGTTGACTATATTAGCCAATGCCAAACGAACCTTTAGTTATCTAGTCACATAAGATATGATTATCAATACCACACCTTCATGGGCAAGCTAATCCCACCGTTTTGGAGAATATCCATAGTCCCATATCATTCTGCAATACCAAACATGATTTAAGTATAACCCACTAAATTGTTCATCAAATCCTATCACAATAGCCAAACATGGCCTAAGTTCTATACGGGTATTTTATTTTAAAAACGGTTCAATTGCACAGAAGAGGCCCACCCAATAGTTCAGCCCATGGCTACTAAGCAATGACAGTTCATATGACTGGTGCCGTTTGGAAATTTGCCATTTTAGTTGGCTATTTGATTTTTTGGTTATTTTGGCTTGATTAAAAAAATTATGTTTAAGATGATAATTTTTTTTTTTTTGTTTTTTTTGGTAGTTGACTTGGTGGTTATGAGAAAAAAAGTAAAATGATTATGGATTAGATATGATATTTGTCTTATTGATTATTGTAATCTATTTTATTTTTATTGACTATTTCAGCCTAATAACCTCTACCCAAACAAGGCCTCAATGTCCATAACAAAGTCCAGGATATTTAGGCCTCGTTTGGAAACCTTTCCTTTTAGTCAAAAAGTCAAAAAATTATTAAATTAGCCAAAAAGTCAATAACCCATACTAAAAAGTCAAAGATTCTTTTTTCTCTCTACTTTTTGCACATCTTTTCGTAAAAAGTCAAAAAGTCATCCCAAACATACTAATTTTTTTTAGCTCATATTTTAGCCAAATAACCAAAAAGTTACTAAATTAGCATGTTCCAAAACCAGGCCTTCTTGGCCTGCAAAGCTTGCTCAAACTTGTATTTTTAGAAAGATGGTTCCGCCCCATTTGGAGGCATTTTGGGCCTATTTGACATGTCTTGGCTCATTATCTAGCAAGAACATATTTGGGCCGGGAAAAAAAAAAAAATATCAACAACTGGATCAACATTGTGCGATTTTCAAATTTAGAGTTTTTTATTTTTATTTTTATTTATATTTATTTATATAATTCGGTATCCGACCACTAGACCAACTAATCGAGGGCTAATTCACTTTAATCAATAACACCCTTGGATGAATAGTTTATTGGACATGAGAATGATCAAAGGGATCAATTCATAAGAAATGTTACCCCACATTTAAAAAAATATATATTATTATTATTATTATTTTTATTTTTACATGAATCTAATATTCAAACACGTAAGTGTGAATAACTTTGTAGCAAAAACAATTGTAAACAACCACCTCAAACAATGGCAGGGTTACATGTCTATGACCGATGTCAAATGACACTACAGAAATTTGAAAAAAATATTAACTATGTATTAAGAGTTTTACAAAATACATAAAATCAGTGTTTAATATATGCGTCTCTGAATTTTGTTTTAGTTCTTTTTGTTGCTTGTTTGGACAATTTAATTTTAAAAAACCCTTTAAAATATCATTATATACACTTGACATCAACAATTTTAAACTTTGGCCTTGGTGTGGCCGTTGCTAGCCAAACAATAAGTAGTATGCTAGAGCACTTGTGCATTGCCATAGACTAATTTTGATCATCTTTAAATTTACTTTTGATATTGTTTGATGCATATTTTAGACTAACATTGTCTATAGTATTAATATTCTCATATTTTCTTTATATATAATTTAACAAGTTTAAATTACTTCTATTAATGTTGTTTAAAATATTACACTATATCATGTAAACATTGATTTAAACTTGTTCAATAACTAAATCAAAAAATTTGGCTAGGCAATTGTGTCAAGAAAAATGTTTGGGGGCCCTAATTTTGTGGCTCAAATGTGGCTCAAATGGCCAAAACGACGTCGTTTTGGCCATTTTGATGTTGTTTTGTACTCAAAACGACGTCGTTTTGGCCATTTG